TTAAGCAACAACATTTTGGGGTCTTTTTGGTCTTTATTTTTCTTTTTTTTAAAATATATTTTTATTGATTTTAGAGAGGAAGGGAGAGGGAGAGAGAGATAGAAACATCAATGATGAGAGAGAATCACTGATCAGCTGCCTCCTGCACACCTCCTACTAGGGATCAAGCCCACAACCGGGCATGTGCCCTGACCAGGAATTGAACCGTGACCTCCTGGTTCATAAGTCGACACTCAACCACTGAGCCAGGCCGGCCAGGCTGGTCTTTATTTTTCTTGGGGTGAGTATTGCCTCTGGGGTCAGAGCAGCCATACAATAGTGGTCCCCATGCCCATTACCTGAGCAACCTGGTCACCATTCTCTGAGGAGGGCAGCACAGCCTGTTCTCTGGTTAGTGGGCTGATACTCTGAAAGCAGCGCCCCCAGTGGCCAATGCTAGCGCACAGCATCCAACTGCTGGTGCAAATGTCCTCACTCTGGGTGTGCAAACAGTACAAAGCCCGTGTGAGCAAACATGTCAAAACCAAAAGAAGACCACCACTGTTTATTTGCTCACACAAACACACGTGACCTGTGAAAGGTGGAGAGGAAACATGGCTCTCACATGCTTTACGATGTTGGCTGTGTCTACTCCGCAGAAAGGCAAAAAAAAAAAAAAGATGCCTTGTCAACAATAAATTCAAACGTATTAAAGCCCGAGACAATTGCTTGCTTGCTGGTATACAGCGATGAGTTCTCTAGGTCCTTTAACAACCAAATATGTTACTGCCAGAACAAAGAAGGGTCTTTACATTTTTTAATGTCACAGTGTTGAATTTTCCCATTTGTTTGGGGGAAAAATAATCTGCCCAACAGATACTAAGATTGAGTTTTGCCCTTTTGTTCATCTAAAAGTTCTAATTTGCAAAAGTTTTAAATCTAAAATTGGACCCAGACCAAGATACAATGTTTTAAAAATCTTTTTTTGTTCCGGCATTTAATTCATGGAAAACCATGTAAGCCACAGATACAGTACAAATGACAATTTGGGTTGAGACGTGTCTTTTTTTTCTTTTTTTAATTTTTCGGCAGAAGCAGATTTTCCACAAAACTAATGGCACTTATGCAGCCCCTGAGAATGCTGGGAGGGGCACATTGTAATAGAACTTTCCAGTTGGGAAAGGGCTGCAATTCTACATCAGCAGTTTGATAAATTGTAAGTCACCTAAAAAGAATTCAGAAGGATTAAACCTCCAAGGCTAAAGTAATTTGTTGTGAATTCTTTCTCTTTCTTTTTTATTGATTTGAGAGAGAAACACTGGTTTGTTGTTCCACTTATTGAGGTATTAATTAGTTGATTCCTGTATGTCCTGATCGGGGATTCAATCTGCAACCCTGGCGTATCGGGATGACACTCCAACCAACTGAGCTACCCGGCCAGGGTTTCCTTGTTTTTTTCATTTTAGTAAATATTTCTAATTGTGTGTACTCTCTAAAAGGTGACCCTTGAAATTAAATAATCTTGAAGGTCCCTCCAAAACATGTATACCTGACTCTGCTGCACAGTTTAGAAAACATTTAGTAGGCAGTTCCCTTTTTCTATCATTTAAAGAACATTTACAAGAAAGTAGGATCCCATTTTCTTTACAGGAAGAGGACTGGTTCTGAATTATCAGTATTTCTGGTCTCAGATAGAGAGCAAGCAAGTCAAAGTGCAAAAATACATTCCCTTCTGGCTTTGCTAAACATTGTCACTGTAGATGAAAACCCTCCAGCAGGAATCCCCTAGTTTCTAGTTTTCTCCCAACATGCGATCACCCAGGGCAGGACCAAATCCCACTGTGGGCCAGGCCTCCAGGGACCAGGATGGGTCAGATCTGTTCTTCCTGAGGTTGACTGCTGGAAACCAAGGTCCCAGAATCTTCAAGTAAGTGTTCCAAACCAAATGATGCCTTTGTGTACACGTAGACTGGGTTTCTGGAAATAACTCTGAAATCTAACCATAGGCCATCACTGATGTCAAGAGAAAAAGCACAAAAAATATTGTTTAACAATTTAACATCAGGACTCCGTATTTACCTTACCAGGTAGACAAAGTGGGAACAGAAAAAAACAAACAAACAAGTGTACCAAGCTGCCTCAGAGACCCAGTAACTCACAGGAGAAACAGTTCAGCCTAAAACAGCGAAAGCTCATCCCAAAGGAAGGGCCTCCGGGGGCCTGGGCAGCCCTTGGCTGTGTGTGTGTGTGTGTGTGTGTGTGTGTGTTCTTTCCAAGATGACAAGCCTTCTCAGGATCTTTTGAAGGACGAGGTATATGAACGTCCACTCTTCCTGCACGAGGCATTTACTATTTGCTCAGCAGCCCCAAGGCCAGGGTCAGACGCCTGAGTGGGCTTAGGGAGACAATGGAGTAAGCCTAGGGTGGGGACAGGTCGCTTTCTAGAACAATCAGTGTTGACCCACATGGCTGAAAAGTGAATGAAATCATATCTGGACTAAAGGAAGACAGCCAGCAGACCTCCAGCAAACATGCCACAGATAGAAAGGATTACATGGGAACGTGGGCACCTGCCCGGTCTGCCTTCTCTTATCAATCCCACACAACACGTCAGGTAAGAGCCCGACCCTGGCACGACCTCGGTGGCACATTTCAGGGATCCTACTGTCTACTAAATGCCTTCTACTCTCCACCGTTCTTTCAGGGCCCAGCGCCGGCTGTTTTCCTGTCTGGGTTTCCATCCTACCCTTTGCTCCAGAGTACACAGTTCCAATAGGCGAGCCTGTGGACACGCCCCGCGCAGCAGCAGCACAGCAGCTGAGAGCTGGAGCTTGGCAATCTGCCGACATGGGCTTGAATCCTGGGAATGGCATCAGCCCACCTCACAGGGGTGCTGTCACTTTTTAAGGCCATAATGCACAAAAGGCACAGTTAGGACCCATAATAAAAACTGGTGACGTGTTGGCTGTTATTCTTCTCACCTTGGCAGCATCCGGTCTCCATACATCTAAACGCAACCTCACCTCAGCCCCCAGATCTTAACCCCTGGCCTCAAACGATTGCTCCACCTGAACTCGGAGCAGCTCTCATCTCCTGCAGAATTCATTAGACCACCACCCCGTCTTCACCTTATTTTTATCTGCTGCATCTGTCCTTCCACAAACTAGTTTCCTGTCTCCCCGGAAGGTGAGCACCATAGGTGATGGGCCATTTCTTAGCGGTTTTCATCTTCCCTGAAGCCCCCAGCACACTGGCTCGGCCATGGAAGGCTCCAAATCTGCTGCTGGCAAATTTGGACAAAGTGTGAGACTTTGGAGTCCGGGTTGGGCCCTTCCGATTATTTTGGAGGAAATGATTTGAAACTCTATACTAGGTTATGCAAACCCTCCTGCTGGGAGACTTGTCTATATCCTAACTTTCTATTGTGCCTATCGTGCCATAGGAAGATCAGCACTGAAGGGCTTAAAGCAGTGGTTCTCAACCTTCTGGCCCTTCAAACACAGTTCCTCATGTTGTGACCCCAATCATAAAATTATTTTCGTTGCTACTTCATATCTGTAATGTTGCTACTGTTATGAATCGTAATGTAAATATCTGATATGCAGGATGGTCTTAGGCGACCCCTGAGAAAGAGTCGTTCGACCGCCAAAGGGGTCGCGACCCACAGGTTGAGAACCACTAGCTTAAAGCAAGTCTCTCAATATGCCACTTTGGTCAGAGGGTTATTTTGAGCTAAAGGCAATCAAAACCCAGCAGATTCAGGGAAAACTCTTCACCTCCACGCTCAATTGCCTAAATGTACATGGGAAAGGGAGCCAGTGCCAGTAAGAGAGCTAGTACCAGAAACCCCGTTTCACCTAAGCAACCTGTTTCCCAAGCATCCCCTCGGCCTTCCTCCCCTTTGTATCTCCAGACCCCACCCCTTTCCTAGCTCAAGAGGTTATAGAAGATTCACTCACCTGGCTGCCTTTTGTGTCTCCTATCTTTATACACCCCCGAGCCCCACACCCCCTGTATGTCCCTAATTAAATTTGTTTTTCTCCTGTTCATTTGTCACGTCATACTGTCTGACCAGCCAAATAACCTGGAAGGGAAGACAGGACAAACTTCCCACCCTACAGCTCGAAGCAGTTTTCTGGGGCCATCAAACAAAACGGGTCCCACGTGTTGGAAGGATCTCATGTACCCCAGGCAATGGCCAGTCTCCTCTCACAGGACTTTCCCATTCACTTGTCTCATTCACATTACACACGAGTCGGTTTACCTTGTGCCAAATCATCCATGTATATCCTTCGATAGTGGGTGTTAAGTTATTCCTTCACTGATGACGAAATAGAATGACGAAAAGAGAACTCAAGGACAGAGCCAGGTTCTTCAATATGCGGCCCTTCACATGTGGGCCTTCATGGGGGCTTGATTCCGACACGAAGGTGTGGTTCTCGCCACTCCTCATGGGCTGAAATCAAACCCCTGGTTCCGTGATGGGAGGCTCGCTTTCCAGTAACCACCCCTCTAGGATCTCAAGGCTCAAGGGCTATACGCATACAACATCTCATGGTTTAGGCAAAGGGAGGCGCCCAGCGGGGAACGCACACTACTGACACATCTGTGCACGTGCAGATACTGACTCTTAAAGCAGCAGGACTCCAGCGTTTCCAAGGGTTCACATTAGACACCAGACAAGTAATTGGGACAAGGCAACAGTAGAAACACAAAACAAAAAACATGATGCTCCAGGTAAGGACAGCTAAGAAAGAGGAAATGTGACTTCACTTCCTGTACCCAAGAATTGGAATATAACTTCCTAACCTCAGTGTAGGGCCTACCCAAATGGCCAGATAAATATTTCCTTTTGTAACCAATTCACTGCTTGTCTGGTCAACACCACCCACCCCTAGGGAGCATAACGGTATATACACATCCTGCCCAGGCCGGTGTTTACTCCTCTCCTGGGTTCACTGCAGGTGTCGTTTGCCCTCCAGCCCCTGTGGTTCTGCTCAGAACCAGGAAGGGCGACTTACCCTCTGGGACAGTGACTTCCTCCTCCTGGCCATTCAGGACTCCCTCCTGCGGGGTGAGCTCTTCTTGCTCAGCTAAGCCGTTGAGTGTGGACAGCTGACCATTCTTCTGTAAGAGCTATGGGAAGACAAAACAATTTCAGTCTTCACGGCCAAGTTAGAAATCCTGTAACTTCAAGAAAAAGAAATCATTTTGAGGAGAAATACAGAGAAAGGAGGGTCGATGACAATGAAGATTTAAGTCTTTTTTATTCATCTGAATGATCCAGCTACTTTACAAAAGGTACAAGGAGCTATTGTTAAGCAGATAAATATGCACACAATTCATTCATTCATTCATTCATTCATTCATTCATTCATTCATTCACCTGAATACCATGCATGATTAACACACCCACCACTCCAGGCTTATTTGAGATATAACAAACAATAAACACGTCTCAGGTGTGGTCCCCACCATTTTGAGCTTATAAACTACCATGGAAGGCAGATTTTAAAAAAAGTCTTTTACTTTAATGCTTCCTTGTGATTAGAAGTTATGCATATTTGAGTAGAATATGCGTAAGTGACAATGGGTCCTTCTCAAGATAGAAGGCAGACAGTTAAAAAAAATAATTACTAACTCGCAGCTATGGAAATTGTCATGGCCGAAACCGGTTTGGCTCAGTGGATAGAGCGTCGGCCTGCAGACTGAAAGGTCCCAGGTTCGATTCCGGTCAAGGGCATGTACCTGGGTTGCGGGCACATCCCCAGTAGGAGATGTGCAGGAGGCAGCTGATCGATGTTTCTCTCTCATCGATGTTTCTAACTCTCTATCTCTCTCCCTTCCTCTCTGTAAAAAATCAATAAAATATATTTTTTAAAAAAATTAAAGGAAAAAAAAAAGAAGTTGTCATGAAGGAGGAACACATAGAACAAAGGACAGTAACTGAGGGCCCTAACCCAGGCTGGGGTGTCAGGAGGGCTTCTCAGAGGAAGTAAAGGTAACACTGAGGTCTAAGTTCCCAGGCAAGGGGAGTTTGAGAAGGGGGTAGTGGATGCAGAGAAGGGGGGCAAGTTGAAAGACCCCATCGTTCAAAGGCCAGTCTATCCAGAGTGAACAAAAAAGAGGTATGTAACTTTATATGAGTTATTGTTTTTCCATAAAAATATTACTAAAATGGTCATTTGCAATCTTCCCTACTGGATAGCTTGGGCAATTGAGGTCAGCAGTTGCAAAAACAATAGACATACAGACATGCCCTCAGGCCATTTTTTAAATCCTGAGACTACAGGTAAAAAAATTTTAAGCCAAATAAAAATAACACAATAAAACATAGCTGGTTTGGCTCAGTGGATAATCGGCCTGGCAGACTTAAGGGTTCCAGGTTTGATTCTGGTCAAGGGCACATGCCAGGGTTGCGGGCTCGATCCCCAGTAGGGGGCATGCAGGAGGCAGCAGATTAATGATTCTCTCTCATCACTGAAGTTTCTATCTCTCTCTCCCGCTCTCCCTTCCTCTCTGAAATCAATAAAAATATATTTTAAAAATAAATAAATAACAAAAATAGCACAATAACCCATAGGAACCTAAAGATTTCAACAATGCTTTATAGCTCATGTACTTTTCTCATTTGTCTTAAAGCCAACGTAGCAGGTGCCATGGTTTCCATTTCACAGGTGAGGACAAGAGACTGCAGGTTGGCTGGACAAGCTCAGGAATGGAGGCGGCTGTGGCCTGGAGGCCACGACTCACCACTGACCACTTCCAGGGTTTTCCTACAACATGATGAATTGTTGCAGGACCTGTTACTACACACAGTGATAAAACGCCTCCAAGAGTATTCCACAGTATCCAGCCCTGGACCCCAAAGAAGCCTCAAAGCTTAACACTCCATTTGGCATCACTCCACGCCGCCGACAGGCCCAGGGAGCAGGCTGGCCAAATCAGTGACTCCCATCAGACCCTTAAAGGGACAGCGGGTTCAAGACGGGACAGCGGGTTCAAGACGGTCCATGCAGAAGGCTTGAACTGTGCTACATTCATTTCACCTGGCTGTTCTGTGCTCCCGGCAAAGCTGCCCTTCAATTGCATGAGCCGCCTCCTGACCTAGTACCGCTGCACTTCAATGCGTGCACTGCCCATGGAATGGTTGGCTTCCACAGGCCCATGCTGAGTCCACTTATTAGTCAGAATACTCAGATTACATTTCCACTTAAGTTCTTCTCTTACCAAAATATGAAAGATGGGACTTTTAAATGAAACCCAATGACAAGAGCAAGGGTAGGGGAGGGAGGGCTCCACAAGGCCCATCAGCAAAAATGTCAATGATTATGAGTATTTTCACTTAATCCCACTAGTTCTGTGCACAGGTTAGACTTACATTTGATTAATAACATGAAGAAGAGCCAAGGGAGGAAAGCAAGAAACATATTATCTTAGGCTGCACGGTAACCCCATGAATCCCAGACCTAAAAAATGCTGACATATACACCACAATATGACAAACTCAACGGGGAACATGAGAAAGCTGTTCTAGCACATTAATTTCAATGCAGTAAATGTTGGTCAACTGTGCGCCTGGTTTAGAAACCAGAACACTGAGGTTTTATAGTGATTAGAGTTCTACAGAGTTTCTATAATTCTTGAAAGATTTCTCATAATGCTTTGTGAGTTATCAAATCCAATTTGATAATTCACAAACGAGTCAAATTGAGTACCTTTTAACGTGAAGGATCTTATAGGACACAGGCACAAACTTTCATCCACGTTTAGAAATGTTATATGTATATTTAGGTGAATGAGTGAAAAAGGTGAAGGGGTTAAGAAGTACAAATTGGTTGTAACAGAATGGTCATGGGGATGTAAAGCACAGCATAGGGAATATAGTCAGTAATCCTATATAATAAAAGGCTAATATGCAAATTGACCAAACAGCAGGAACGACCAGTCGCTATGACATGCACTGACCACCAGGAGGCAGACACTCAACGCAGGAGCTGCCCCCTGGTGGTCAGTGAGCTCCCACAGGGGGAGCACTGCTCAGCCAGAAGCCGGGCTCACAGCTGGCAAGTGCAGTGGTGGTGGCAGGAGCCTCTCCCACCTCTGAGGCAGTGCTAAGGAGCAGTGAGCCCAGCGGTAAGGAGCAGTGAGCAGGTGGGTGGTAAGGAGTGAGGGGTCCCGGACTGTGAGAGGGCACAGGCCAGGCTGAGGGACACCCCTCCCCCCGAGTGCATGAATTTTGTGCACCAGGCCTCTAGTATTCTAATAACTAATTATGGTGCCAGGTGGGTGCGAGATTTATCAAGATGATCACTTAGTAAGTTACATAATGTCTAATCATGTGGGGAGGGGGTATACCTGAAATCAAAATAATAATGCATATCAATTGTAATTGAAAATAAAAAAATGATTTAAAAAATGTTATATGTATATGATGTATATTAGACGATGTAAATAAAGTGAGTCTTAAAAACTGAGATCACCTGCCAGCCGACTTTGTATGTGAAATGTGGTAGATAAACGTTAGATCAGTTATTCCCAGCGGCCGCAGGCAACTCTCTCTACTTCAGGAAGGCACCTGATGAAGTGACTTTGGTGACAGGCAATGTATGACAGAGACATTGTTACAATTGAGTTTTAGCATATTCATAGCTTGGGTCCAGCAAGCGCACCCAAACTGTAGCCCCTGGGTAATGTCTCAAGTGAGCAGTCAGAGTCCATGACACGCTGACGCCCCACACAAAAATGGGACTTCGTTCCTTGCCACACCCGGCATTTTCACCGCTCTGAGCCCCACTTGGAGATGCTTTTTTACAGCACCTCCTGTGTTCTTGGGGATGGGGAATTAACTTTCCCTCGCCAGAAAAAGGGGGGCCTTGTTTTCCTTTCCTCCCATCCTAAACCATCTAAATAACTCATACTGTTGCTAGGGGTTCAGGTGCCTCTAAGAGTTACCAGTACATTAAGGTCACCCCAAATCATAAGAAACCTAACCCACACTCCTTAACATTTAAGCCCTTTCTGTCTGTATATGCCTATGGGCATTCATTTTTTTAAAAAGGGAGAATACATGCTTTTTATAACCTGATTGTTTCAGATATTATGGATGTATTTCTTTATCAATAGTCAATAAACACGTAACCGCTCGTCCTCAGTCATTCTCTCAAAAGTTATGCCTTTTGAGATGGGAACAGACTTGAAAGACAGGCTCCTTGCATTTAAACCCAGTAAGCACCAGAGAACCTATTTTCCCACTGGCTTTGCGCTTCAAAAAGGGTAAGCGCCTCCTTTGAGCAAATCAAAACCCTCAATGTTTTCAAGCTTATATCCTCTGAGAAGGTCAGCCAGAGTTCACTCCCGTAAAGTATTACCACATTACAGCTAAACAAAACGCTGAAAAAAAGATCTCCAGGGCTTCCAGCAGCCGTGTTTTCCTCTCGTTCCTGTAAGCACAACGGACAATCTCCAAAATGGCAGCCAAGGCATTGCAGAAAAATGACCAGATTTGGCTCCCCTTCCTTCTCCACTGGCGTAAGCCATGGGGGTCTCAAGCTCTTTAATGAATGGACAAAGCAGATGCGCTCCTGACAGCTGTCAGGATGTGGGGAAGAGGAGGTGGGCCTGCTACGGTCACTGTGTTCACCACCGAAGCGATGCTCCGGCGGGTCATTCTCACTGGAGGACGCACCGGGTGGGAGGGGCCCCGGGTCCCGCATTCCAGGTGGTAGATGGGGCTGCGAGCCTGCAGTTCACCCCGACTCCAGCGGCAAACCCCACGAAGCAGAACTGTTAAGTGGGTGTAGGCAGGAAGGAACCAGAACCTCATGAATATAACAAGGAAACACACATAATTAGAATAAAAAAGATTACTTGGAAGGAATTTTAAATCCATGACAAAATTTGTAAAGAAAACTCTTCAGTGTGTTTCCTTCGTTCTAATAGAAAAGTGTTTTGAAAGTAAAACTTTAGAAAAAGTCAAAGAGAAGAAAATCTAAATCAGAGTATAGGTCAGTAAATGTCTTTGGAGATTAAGTTTAAGTGTGCATGCCCATTGGCTCTACCTAGTCTAACAGATATGGATCTGTATACACATGCAAGATGCGCAACACACAATAACTGATCATAGCAACAACCTT